TCAGTGGTTCATGATTAATGTCAGGGAACTGTGATCCTGGCATGACATAAACTGTATCACCAAAAGCAAAAGGTAAAGAAAAAGGATGATTGCTCAGCAATTTACACCAGAGGATGAAAGGGAAAAGCATTTTAAATTAATCATCCTAAAACCTTGATGCTGCCCTGCCACATTTCATCAATCTTGTTTGAGACATATCTCCTATGAAAGGGGGACTTCATAGTCACTTAGGGAATACCAAACAGTAAATTTTTTAAATAGAGGCGCTTTTTACATTTTACTTTAGAATTTCCCTGTAGTCCATAAGCTTTTAGTGTAGAATTTGATTAAAATATACTCTGCTGCCTGGAAAAGCTTTTTCTTGTAAAAGCTGTCAAGTTTTACTGTCAAAATGGTATTCGACTGCAATATCTTTAATTGCATTGAAGAAACTTGTATTGACAATTCATTGTCCTGAGGTTTTTATAGACCTGAAATGCATTATCTCTGTACTCACTTACTTAAGGACCAGAAGTTGTCTTATAGAATTTGTGTAGAACACTGTACTGGTAAATTGTGGTTTCTCTTCACACAGCATCACAGTGCTCGTCTCTCCTCTCAGCATACCATCTAATTCTGCAGTTTATGTAGCAAGCAGCCAGCCAGATGACGACATATAGTTGTATCAGGGTAACAGTCATGCATTGCTATTCAGGTTTCTGGAAAGGAGTAGTATTATGGGCAGTGGTCTGATTTAAACTTGCTCCTCATTCAACTCCATTTTAGGTCATTTTTGAAAAAGCACAGAAAAATAGTTCTTGATGGGGTGGCTGCTGATTGATAATTAGAAGGAAGCATTCTTCAAGAATGTCTTGCTTTAGGAAGCCTGCCAAATAATTTGGTTCTAAGAATATATAAACCATGTTTTGAAAACTTATTTCATTTATAGATGTGCGTAGTTAGCAAAGTGACCTTGTATTGTCTGCTTTTCACAAAAAAGCTCTGAATGTTAAACTCATGTATATATTATATATATATATATTATGACTATGTATTTATATAATTACATAATTGAAATTTGCTATAAACGTGTGTACACACAAACATACATAATTTATAATTATATAGTTATAGAAATACATCATTGTGTAATTTTATATACATACATATGTGTATATATTATATACATATATATATGTGGATAGGTACAAAAATTGAGAGCTCTCAGCCTGCATTGATAATACATGTACATCAAATTTTATTTGTAGATGATGGTGTTATTTGTTGTTTCTATCAATGTCCCATAGTCTTAAATAGAAAACATTTCATCCAAACATTAGCTTAGTAGTTTTTTTCTGTAACATAAATGTGTGCAGTGCTATTATGAAGGTATGCACCCAGTATGTACAGCTACTTTTATTTTTATAATTTATTTTTATAACATCACACAGAAATAACCCTAGACAATTACCACGTTTAGCTTCTGAATTACGTGAATGCAGCTCAACTAGAAAGCTGCTATCTAGGGCCATCTCAAAAGCAAGAAGGAGGGAAGGGCATTTCCTTTTCATGTACTGGAAGACTTCATATTATGAACATGTTTATACTACCCAAAGTAATCTACACTTTCAGTGTAATTCCTACCAAAATCCCAATGATGTAGTTTCAGGAGTAGAAAAATATTCCTAAAATTTATATGGACTCTGAAAGGGGCACTGAATAGCCAAAACAATCTTGAAAAATATGAAGTCTGGAGACTCATACTTCCTAATTTTAAAACATATTACAAAGGTACAGTAATTCAAATAGTTTGGTACTGGCACAAAGACAGATATATACATCCATGGAATAGAACAGAGAGCACAAAAAAAAATCCACATGTATATTGTCAAATGATTTTCAATAAGAATGGCAAAACTATTCAATGAGAAAAGGACAGTGCTTTTAACAGATGATGCTAGAAAAAATGACTATCCACATGCAAAAAAATGAAGGTGAACCCCTTACCTTATACCTTACACACACACCATATACACAAATTAACTCAGAGTGAATGAAAAATCTAAACATATGTGTAAAAACTATGAAAATCTCAGAAGAAAGCATGGAGCAAGATCTTTATAACTGGATTTGCTGGTAATTTCTTGGCTATGACACCAAAGACAAAGACAAGAACAAAAAAAGAGTAAGTTGGATTTCATCAAAATTAAAAACTTTCCTTACATCACGGAATCCTATTAGGAGAGCTAAAAGGCAACCTATAGAATGAGAAATGGTACCTGCAAATCATATACCTGACAAGAGAGTAATATATCAAGGACGTATACAAATCAATATGAACAACAAAAAAAGGAAATGAATAAAATGACAAAGTATTGGATACACTTTTATCCAAAAAAGATAAATGGCTAATAAATTCATGAAAAGATGATTAACATCACTAATCAGTAGGGAAATGCAAATCAAAACTACCTTACAACTATTAATATGGCTATTACTAAAAAAGAAAACAACCCCCAAGAAAACAGAAAATAGCAAGTGTTGACAGGATGTGGAAAAATTGAAACATTTGTGAACTGTTGCTGGGAATGTAAACTGGTGCAGTTCCTCAGAAAACAGAATTGTCATATGATCCAGCAATTCGATTTTACTAGATATGCACCCCAAATAACTGAAAGCAAGAACTTGAACAGATATTTTTAAACCAATGTTCATAGCTGTGTGATTCACAATTGCCAAAAAGGTAGAAATTATGCAGATGTTCATTAACAGATGAGTGAATAAACAAAATATGGTCTATACATACAATAAAATATTTTTTTAATCTTAGAAATTTTGATCTATAATACAACATGGATGAACATGGAAGACATTATGCTAAGTGAAATTTAAAAAATTAGAAATATTATATGATTGTATTCAGTGAGTTACCTAGAATAGTCAAATTAATGAAGACAGAGAGTACAATAGTGGTTACCAGGAGTTAGGAGGAAAGATGGTAATAACTAGTGTTGTGAGCTCTCATCTTTGGTTTCTGTACTACTGTGGGAGCAAATAGGCTCTCAGAACCTCACCTGAAATGTGAAGAGAGGAAAATGTCATAGCTATAAGGAAATCCTGCATACAGCAGAAACAATTGTATAAAGCTTGTTAAAGAATCTACTCCTATGACTTCCCTAAATATACACTACAGTTCAGAGAGAAATGTTGGGCAAAATTTTGCTGTCTGAGAAATGTATTTTGTAGGTTGTGAGGATTTATAACATATAAGGTGTCAATACCTGAATAGAGTCTTGTTTTAATAATCCAGGAAATAAACATTTAAACTCTTGAATGGTAGAAACAATAAAACTAATAAAGATAATTTTATTGGTAAGACAGTATCTTCATTCTTCCTCTTTCCTATCATGGTGTCTTCACAAATTTCACCTTGACTAAGAACCTTGTTTCCTTACAAAATAATTTTTTTCTTTTTTCCTGCATTATCAAACACATGATTTTCCTGAGTAAAATCATGTGTTGAGAGGACTTGGAGAGAGAATAGGTAAAAGAGTTTCTCTCTCTTGTTTTTCTATTTGCTTTGGAGGCTGGAACCAATGGAATTTCTCAACGCCATTGTATAAAAATAGCCTTGCATTAATCTTTGTAAGTCCACACATAGAGTGGATATAGGGCTAGAAGTATTTTTTGCTCTTAGAAAGTTGAATCTTCACCCACAAGAAAGTTTAACCTTGAAGGGATGACAATCAGTGATGAGGAGCCTTATGTGAGGATTGCCATTTTTTCATTTACGTTTGGCTATCACAAATATGTCTGAGCTATAAAGAGATGAGAAACTTGAAAACAGATGGCCCATCTGTTTCTGTCTGTATGAATTGTGGAGCATTTGAAATAAATGTCAATCATGTAAATTGAATTCTAAGAGCACTCTACAATTCCATAAGTTTGTCCTTACAAGCCATTGTGAACATTGCCATACTTTTTTTTATTGCCGTGATTTGAGATTATTTGCTAATTGTTAAGATTATTTTATTATCTAATAGCATATCATTTATCTTTAAGCAACACTAAGCAAACAAGGATTAAGATGACAATCAATCAGAATCATTTCACCTTTCTAAAATGTCTTTAAAAAGTGCATAATCCTGAATGACAAACAACTATGAAGTAGTAAATATGGGTGATTAAGATGAAAAATTTTTGCAGGCAAAAAGTCCGAAGTATAAATCATCTCAATTAAGTAAAACTCTTAATATCTGTGTTATCTTCTGTTATGTGGGAATTGTGAAATTCTAACATATATCTAATTCATAAGTCCCAGGGAAAAAATAAAAGTTTTCATAATTATTTTGCATTGACTAAACCATGCAATAGCCCATATCTCTCCAGCATGTTTTGAAGGAATTTTCTGAAGAATATTATCACATGATAATAACTAGAATTATATGTGTATACAGATATTATAATTTCCTAAACAATATAGTGATATTTTTATTGTGTATACTTTTTAAGTAACATTATGTACAATAAAGCCAGTTTTTTGGTGAGATGTGGAAAGAACAGGTGTAATAATGGACAAATGGTTGTAACATTCATCTATAACTATTGCAACTGATCATAACTGCACATCAAAACCGTAAGAGTAGTCCAGGCCTCGCTCCTTGAAATTGATTTGGTAGGTTTGGACTGATGCCAAGTATGACCTGTAGTTTTAAAAGAATTCCTTAAAAATTCTCATACTCTTCTTCCAGTTAATATTTATTGATACAGAAGAGTGATAGCTCAGCCTTTCTGTATTAGATAATTATACCCTAACATATGTATTATTGTTATAACCAATATGTAGAATAAGAGAAGATGAGTTGTTTATTTCCCTTCCTGTCCTTCTAAACTCATACAGAGGAGCTAGTCTTTTTCTGTTTGTTGGTGAAGCTGAGGGTAGTCTCCATGACTTTTGGAGTCATTTTCAAATAATAAAAGTCGTCTAGACACACACACATACATACATACACACACACACACACACACACACACACACACAGAAAACATTCTCAGTTTAGTTATTAATATTTTGAATTAATATTTCAAGACAAATTTAATGGTGCAAGTAAGTCTGGGCCTCCCTTTGCTCCACCATAGGTGTACTGATTCCATTGCAGTTTGTTGCACTTCAGAGGAGCCTGACACCTACAAGATCTAGAATTCTATATATTTTTTTCAAATATAATACATCAGTCCACTGTGACCCCCAAACTGAGAAACACCAAGCTTTTAAATGGTCACTTTGGAGTCCCTTAAATTTTATTTACATTTACCTTATAAATAAATATAGAGATAAATAGAAAACTTTCAGTCTTTGATAGTATAAAAGGAAATATGGAGATCATAGATATGGGGTGGACTAAGGATATGATGCACATTGCTATAAAGAACTACCTAAGACTGGGTAATTTATGGAGAAAAGAGGTTTAATTGATTCACAGTTTCACAAACTGTGCAGCAGGCATGGCTGGAGGAGCCTTAGGAAACTTACAGTCATTGCAGAAGGGTGAAGGGGAAGTAAGAACATCTTCACATGATGGCAGGAGTGAGAGAGCAAAGGGGGAAGTGCTACACACTTTTAAACAACCAGATCTGGTGAGAACTCACTATCACAGGAACAGCAAGGCGGAAATCCATCCCCATGATCCAATCATGTCCTACCAGGTCCTTCCCCCAATATTGGGAATTACACTTTGACCTGAGATTTGGGTGTGGACACAGAGCCAAACCACACCAGTGGACAAGGGAAAGGCTACTTCATGTTAATGTCTAAAGTTGATGAAATAAGCAGAAATTTAAGAATATGATTTAAATTGCAAAGATAACTGATCATATTACTAATAAATAATAAAACTATGGGGAGGCAGGAAAGAGCAGTTGATGACTAACATAAAGGAACACATTCTTAACTTTCAGGAGGATAGGAAGATAGGAAGTCATAAATGATGACTGGAATTGAAAAAGCAAAAAAAAAAAAGTGTAAAGATGACATTATAATTAGGAACATTAACACCATCAAATTTACCGTTTTTAACCATCCTCACCCAAAAGTGTTGCTGGAGCCAGAGAAGAGTATGGCAGAGTACTGGAGACCTTTGCTACCAGTAACTTCCTTAGAGTTAATGAAAATATTTAGTTTAAAGCCATAACTCCCCAAATACACCCTCATCTGATCTTGGAAGCTAAGCAGGGTCTTTGGCCTGGTTAATACTTTAATGGAACACTGCCTGGGAATTCAGGATGCTTTAAAAAAAAAAAAGAAAAATTAAAAAAAAGTAATAGTGTGTCTATAGTCTAACCTTTTGGAAAAAAAGTTCATCAGGAGAGTCTTCTAGATATTCTGAAAATTTAATAATAAAAATTAACCAAATTTTTCAAAAAATAATTACCAAAAATGGTGTTAAAATTTATTATGTTAATATTTAGCAGGGCAATATTGAATTTCTAGGGACCTTACATTATGTCGAAATTTACTAATACTATTTTCCCTTTTTAAGTGATAACTTTTGTCAAAGTGGCAAGGAGGTTTTTGATAGGCAGAAATCAGTGCACAAGTTACACCTTCCCTCATGCAGAAAACGCTGATTCATTGTCCTTTTCTGATTATCTCATTTTTGCTCCAGTTGCTAATTTGTATTCTTTTGTCCTTCCTTTTCAGGAATGCTTTCCAAATAGCATTCCAAATAGTAAGAGAGCAAAGTGTTGTTTCATGTCTTTCCTTACCTACAAGATTGTGTTGAGACTGATATGGTGAGTGCCTTGACCACAGTGTCTGGAACAGGTTGTCTAAAATGAATAAATGAGCTAGACTATGAATGAATGAACGAATCAATGCATTTATGCAAGAATAGGATGCATACATTGCTTTCAAATTGTAAGGAGATTTTTCAAATATGAAGTGTTACACCAAAATATTTAATTACACCAAAATAATTAATTGAGACTGAACTGCTGAGAACTAAACTGCTTCCAAATCAAGTGTCATGAAAAGAAGTACTTCACAATATACTGTGTACATCCTCAATCCATATTACATAGGTTAGATTTTATTTTTGAATATATATATATGTATTTTGAATACACATCTTTTCTACATAAGTTTATTAAATGCACATTTTATATGTTTACAATTACAGTCTTACATACACTGTGTTTATATTAACCCTTTATCAGATAAAATATTTTTTCTTTGTCAACTGAAAATTGGGCTTTTGTTAAAGCAGCTAATGTTTCCTTTATGCAGGTTAGAAAGTATCTATCTCTTGGTTTTACAGATCAAAGAACCTATAACCTCATCAAAGTAAAGCATATTTGCTACTAATTACATTTAGTATATAGTGATATTAAATTTACTTTCCATGAAGACTCTATTACTGAGGCTTCATTTTGTTAATAGTAATAAAGATTCTTGCATTCTTAGTCACTCTCGTTATATATAGCAGTGCATAGCTTTTTTTAATTTTTTATTATTTATTTATTTATTTATTTATTTATTTTTTGAGACAGAGTTTCGCTCTTGTTACCCAGGCTGGAGTGCAATGGCGCGATCTCCGCTCACCGCAACCTCCGCCTCCCGGGTTCAGGCAATTCTTCTGCCTCAGCCTCCTGAGTCGCTGGGATTACAGGCACGTGCCACCATGCCCAGCTAATTTTTTGTATTTTTAGTAGAGACGGGGTTTCACCATGTTGACCAGGATGGTCTCGATCCCTTGACCTCGTGATCCACCCTCCTTGGCCTCCCGAAGTGCTGGGATTACAGGCGTGAGCCACCATGCCCGGCCAGCTTTTAAAAGTGAATGACTTGATGTTCAGTTCCGTTTTATAAAACACCAAGATGCATTTTATTTGCCTTGTATAAAAAACTGATGAGTACGCGAGATGAGGTTAATACAATGGGTAAAATAAATCAATTCCATGTTACAACTAATAGCTTTAATAGTTTAGCAAATGACATAAACGTTTGCTTTTAAATGGACACTTAGGCTAATTTGACAGCATGCTTGCCATTAGGCAACAATTACTATAGTTAGAGTGAGGACATTTTTTCTTCCATCCCCACTCAATTCTGGAAAAACAAGAGGGAGGAAGAACGGAGGACAAACTGTTTACTTCTAACATTAAATTGTGGTGCCTCTAAGTCAAACTAATTATGCTTTTGTATCTGAAACAACCAATAAATTTTCACAGCTGGTACTTTGTACCTGAAACACTTTGCGTTTATTAGCTAAAATTATTTGCTCTATACATGACTGCTTAGAGCGAGGAGATTTTTTTTTTTCTAAAGCTGTGCTTTATGTCACACTGGTAGTCATTTTCTTCCAATTTTTGAAACAAGATAGAAACCTATATAAATTGCATAAATATTAGGGGTTTAAAAATTGTTTAGCTTGGTACTGTAATAGGACGTATAATAGAATTATTTCCAAAAATGAGAATCTTGACAGGCAAATACATCTCAGTGCAGTTATAAAACCTGCAGAGGTAACACTCAACTGATCTCTTCCTCCTTTGCTTCTTCTCTTTCCCTTCATTTCCCTTTTCTCCTTCCTTCCTTCCTTTTTTACTTCTCCATCCACCTTTCTTCCCCAAAGCAGTAATGGTGCAAAGTCCATGCTGTTTTCAATGACTACATGTTACTTAAATGTCTACATTTACTTAATGTAGTAAATCTACATTTACTTAAGTAACATTACTTAAATGTATAGACATTTAAGTAACATTATTGTACAGTAATTGTATTTTATTTCATTTTAAGTTCTGGGATACATGGGCAGGACGTGCAGGCTTGTTATATAGGTAAACCTGTGCCATAGTGGTTTGCTGTACCCATCAACCCACCACCTAGGTATTAAAGCCCCACATGCATTAGTTATTTATCCTGATGCTCCCCCTTCCCCCAACTCCCTACATTGTAGTAAAATAATTTTATATATGCCTCCTGATCAAATAATACAGGAAAATAAAAACTTTATCTTCCAAACATTTTATAATAGGTAAGCCAGATATTCTAAGATTTCTTTTGTAATTTTTGCAGGTCTAATATTAATTTTTCTTTTGCAAAATCAAAGCAGTTTTTACTGATATAAATCAGATATTTCAAACATTTTCTTCTTACCTATATTGTTAAGAAAATTGTACAAAACATTACAGGGGGGGGAAACTATAGCCCGTGGATGAAATCTTGCCCACTGCCTATTTCTGTAAATAAAGTTTTGTTGGAACACAACCTTGCCTATTATTTCTTTACTTACCACTATGGCTGTTTTCACACTTGAAGCAATGGCAGAATTGAGTAGTTGCAACAGCTAGCAGATGGCCTTAAAAGCCTAAACTCTTTACTCTCTAGCTCTTTCAGCAAAGATTTGCCAAATGCTGCACTAGAGTGTTCAATTAGCGTGATATTTTGGCCTTTAGGTCAATGACTGAAGTTTCATATAACATTGGTTTGAAGGTCATTGCTGCATACTATATAAGTCATCATATAGGCATCTATTCCTTCCTCCAACCATATTGAATGTTTCATAAATGCCCAGTACTTTTTCCAGCTGATGAGAAGAAAAAATTTGATAAAACAGTTTTTGACAACAAAGAAATGTACAAATCCATATTATAATGTGCAAAAGTCTGATTGGGATATATTCTGTCTTCTAGTTTGTAAGGAGTATTATGAAAGTCATACTTGTTCCATTCACCCTTTCAATTCTCCAAAATAATTATATCCAGAATACAGCAGTGGCCTTTAACTTCTGGAATTATGGTTCTACAAAATGCTAAGCTATGGAGATAAATTTCATAGCTAATGGGCCATATAACTATAACCTAAGATAAAAATTGTATTATTCTTTTTAATGGCATAATTTTTCCGATTTGTGCTTGCCTCACCCACCTATATTCCATTCACACATGAAGACACATAAAATATTTCCCTTTTATTATTATTAAACAAAAAATGCATTGCACCAGAATTTCCTTCTAGCAGAATGTGTATTCACTATATGAGGACATGGTCAATGTTCATTAAAGGAAAGAGATACTCTAGGGACCTGGAGTGGAAGAGATCAAGTAGGACTCCATTTACTGTCTCATTTGGTTTATCTTTTACCCCTTTTCCAGTTTACCAGAGCTGTAGATCCAGAGCTGCAGGTTTTTCGTAAGCAGATCAAATTTAACATGTTGATATATTGAGAAATAAAAACAAGATAAGGAAATGGTAATTCCTTATTCCAGTTCCTCTGGAAGTATTTCATCATAAAGTCTTTATCGAGAAGCTATTACATGTCCAGCACTTTACTAAGAGATGACGTTGCGCTCAAAGCTTCACTAAAAATAGATTTCGAATTGTGTATTTTATCTCCATCTTTCAATGATTTGTACATCACAAATGTGCTTCAATCTACCTATACTGTCTCATTTCTCACCAGCTTAAAATGTCTGTGCTTTTAAACTGTTTCCAATTTTTCCAGGCAGTTTTTATTGTTCCAACCTGTCCTAAAGTAGCCTATTATTTATCTCTTGGTAGTAATACCCAATTTATTTTATTATAAATCATGAATTTACATGTCAGACTGTCTTCCTAAATGGCCAGCTTTCCAAGGTTAGGAAGACGTATTTCATTCAGTCTAGATGCACCTACCATAGCCTTTGTAGTTAATGAGGATTAGTGTAGGGGTGTGATTGAAAAAAAAGTCCCCTGTTAATTATCAGTTTTTCATAAACATAAATTAAATCACAAAATACAACATTCTTTTGAGAAATGGAAGAGTGTGTTGATATAATAGGCTACTTTCAGATTGAAATTCTGATCATCTTTGAAACTTACTGTTATTTAAAAATATATGTGATTAGGATTGATAATCTCTACACTATTTGAAGATTGCTGAGTCTGACAAAAAAAATCAGAACTCCAAGGCTTCTATAATTCTTCTCATTAGTAGTATTCTTCTCACTAGACTTTAAGTCAAAAATAGAAAATGTGTT